CAGGTGAAGCATAGACTGAGATTAAGCAAATGGAAGGAAGAGGATAATTAGCTTCACCAAACTTATCAACATCACAACGTAGAAACTATTAATAAACATAATGCCAGAACATATTATGGGCCTCATTCCTTCTTAATTACTTTGCATGAGTCCATGTGAGGCTCAATATTCCAACCAGTGAATGATTTCTTTTGAGGTGCATCAAATTTTAACTCAATATATCCATGATAATCTTTAAAACGAAATAGAATATTTTGCCCTCTTTCAGCATGAGGACAGTCTTTTTTAATAAACTATAAACAAAGTCAGACGGCTACATAATTACATAATATAAGTGAAGTTACCTCAAGCAGTGCACTTAAATCTTTTGCAGCAGCGAATGTCACCAAATCTTCTGCTCTTTTCTCCTCATAATAAACCAGTCCAGCATAAGCCATATTCTCCACTATACCAGTTGAAACCACTACTTTACCTATATTCACAAAAGTACAATAATTAACATTTGCTGTTGCTTACTATTAAAATCTGAACTACTGTCAGTACAAGGTATTGGAGCAGTTCCTTCTTCATGCTGTGGTTCTTCATGATCATTTGACTCTTCTACTCTTTCATTATCTTGCTCTTCATTTCCTTCCTCATGTAATGATTGACCTCCAGTCTCCTCCTCTTCCTCTAATCCCTCATTACTAGTAGACTCTCCTACATAGTGGAATAGATTCAGTTCATTATACACTAATACACACTGACTGACTCATTACTCACCTTGTCCTCCACTGCTACCTCCTGGTGGATCTTTAGTCTTATCAGAATCACTGGATGAATCACTATTACCATCTTCCACTTCCTCCTCAGTTTCCTCTTCTGCTTGTTCCTCTTGTTCCTCCTCCTCCTCTTCCTCTGACTCATCTCCATCAGTTAACAATTTGGGTAGATGTTTCTCTCCAACAATAGCTACCAAACAGAACTCTTTACGTTGAATGGATCCATACCAACTATCAGGTTTAAACTCTCCTCCCTCAACTATTGAAAACTGGTAAGGAAGACTGGGTATGCTCACGGGAGCTATGGCAAACTTGAGATGACGACTAAGAGCTGGTCGTCCTGTTAAAGCAACGCAGTGCTGTATTTCTAATATGAGTCGTTTGAGGAGAGGCTTTGAGAGTGATACTGCATACACAGCACTCACTAGGACAGTATTGGGAGGAAACTGGAACTGTCCTCCTACAAGAGCAACCACTGCTGCTTCTACAGTATCAGTGCAGGACAGGCTAGCCTCTTGTACTCCAATCCTTAGACCATATTTCTCCCAATTCATTAATTGAGGTTTGTCTCCTTGAATTAAGAACAGCTTCCTCTCTGCTACCTGAACATCACTCAGACAGTCCAATTTCTCTGTCAATTATACAAAATTTATACAGTGAGTACACAAACAGAATGAGCTTCATGAGCTGACAAGCACTACAATACAGTTTATGGAATTTGAATTTGGAGCAACTTAAAAAATTCATAAAAATCCAAAAATTGGTCAAAATCTTCTCTAATTTTCTACACAGCATAAAAATATGTATAAGTATTAAAAAATTACCAAAATTATAGTGCAGACGTTCCTCTTAGTCATTTTGATAAAAATGTGACCATGTAAAGACTAAAGGTTATAGCTTTTGGGCTATAGCTTTGCTTTTGGGCCGGAAACGTAAAAATTTATGAAAGATATAAACTTAATCAAAATGAGCTCAACCTTTCTACATAAAAAACATGTATTTATATCACAAAAATTATAAAATGGATAATTCTCTTCTAGACATTCTTCCAATTTTTAAGCAACTTTAAAAAATCAAAAAAAAATTACAAGTTGACTGAAACCAGCTACACAGCATATGAACATGCATACATGTATGTATTAAAAATGACAAAAATAGAAGATTGTCTCATTGTGATTTTTGTCAAAATAGACTGTACTAGAATGAGTACTATATAAGCCAAAGAGCCATGCAGTCAATCACACAATAATACTCATACCCATTGAAGGGATCAGGTAGTTAAATTGTAGTCCAATGGAACTAGTCTCTTTGATAGGTTGCTTGAGGACCCTCTCTTGTCTTTCCTTCACTAGTTTGGCTATGTACAACTCCTTTTTTTTAAGGTCTATAAATTAATAGAATATTAATAATTATTATTGATTGATGATGATATACTAACCAGTAATAATATGTTTCTCATTCTGTGATTGTTCCTCCGCTTGTGATGTCAGTTTGGCTATAACTTTGTCTTTCTCTAAAATGTTAGTTTTTAGATTTTGATAGTTGTCAATACAATAAGCATATTTTCTCATCTAATACATGCTGTGTGTAGTGTTAACTAACCAATAATGATCTGTTTCTCTTTGAGATATTGTTCCTCCTTCTCCTCCATATCAGCTACTTTGAGTTTCAGTTTCTCATAATCTTCTACATTAATAGAATATTCTCTCATCTAATATTATGTACTGATAATACACTAACCAGTAATAATCTGTTTCTCTTCAATCAACTTTTCCTGTTCTTGTCTCATCTCTTCTAATACACTGCCCATAATATCATTACTATCATTACCTTTAACTGAATGATGATAAAAAAGAAGAGAGTTTATCATAATAATGCAACTAAACAGATGCACACCAAAAACTATAGTTCAACTTTTAACCAATGTACATGTACAAAAAGCTTATAAAAATTTGTACTACATTACAGTAAATACATGTACATGATTATTGCAAATGGTATGTTAAGCAGAAGTCATGCAGTATAATTATGAATCTCATTATTTGTGAAGTATTGCCTGACAATTTGCCCTACATGTCAGTATACTGAATACAGAATACTATTTCCATACTCAACATTATCTAAATACACTAGTATTATAATGTAAACCAGCACTGTAATGCATACAGTCCGACATACTGCACTAACCACATAATAGTGTGTCTGTGTATAGCATCCTATATACCTTGTTTATTGGCCTCAACCAGTGCCTCCTGTAGTGATACTTTGCTCTGATGAGCCACTTGTAGCTCTTGATGTAAAGATTGTATATATCTTTGAAGCTTCATTTCCTTCTCTGTGGGATATTCTATTAGCTGTTCCATCCACCATGTTCTGGTCTTGCTGTATGATTGATACTTTTCTTGATAGTTCTTACTAGTGAGATTATTACCATCAAGTACTGCCTGTACTATCCACTCACCAGCTTCACTATATACTGAGAGACAATAAGATAAATTAAAATTATAATAATAAATCCCAATATTATTCTCAGTAGTTGTCCACACACACAGTGGTATTGTAGTGTGTACAGTATACAAAATAAAATTAATAGAAAATCTATGCTATATCTGAAATTTACAGTATTCACTATAAAAATGGGTGGGAAATTATGTACATATCCGTACAATTGATTAATATTATCTTACTTAATTCAATGATCATTATTAGTCTATTAGAATCAGTGATAAATGTGACAATCGGCTTTACTCTTCCTCTAACCTTTTCCCATTCAAACTTTTCAAATCCTCCAAGAATGACTAGCCACACACAGTGTGGTGACATTGTGACTGCTGTGAGTGAATGACTGTATCTACCAGTAACAGATTCAGGTAGAGGAATCTGTAGATAAAGGGAGCATACAAGTAATTACTGATACATGATATTTTAGTACTCACACATTAATTAAGTTTGGTTCATAAAATAATGTCATGTGTAACTTTTATCAAATTTGTGGGCAAATTCATATTGTAATGTAAATGTTTTATCAGTGATAGTGCTATCCGCTGAACACAATAACAATTAATTACTAATTTATCATCAATATACATCAGTACTAGTGTCATACTGTCAACTGACCTAACTATACACACACACACACACATCATTACAGTACTATACACACACATACCTTCCTACAACTGCACTGACCAGTAGTGATACTATCAAATAACAAACATTCATTAACTAGTTGATTCTTATTATCCCGTCCGCCAATCACTACTAGTGTAGGTGAGGTATAGTCACCATTGATAATAGCACTAGCATGATCACATCTCTCCACAGGCCACAGTCCCTCACTAGGTATTGCTCCTGGTTTTAATATCTCCCAGTTCTACATGTAGATAAACAAATATCAGCCAGCGAAAATGAATATGCATGAATGTGGCTATACAAATAAAAGGTGTAGCATGTAAAAATTAATTCTAACATTGATGTGAATGGTTATTGGATACTATCCAGAGCCTGAAATTACATGTTCAAACAATATTGAGACAATTAAATTGATCTGCCATTTTTATCAAACAATCAGTCCAAATCAGGCATGATTAATTGGTTATTATGTTAAATTACCAGTATTCATAATCATTATTTCAAAAATGATGTTGTTCAGGCAAAATGGTAGAACAACAGAAATTGGTTGGATGAAGAACAAAATGGTTGGAAAATGCCTGATGTTTGACTGTTTCTTCAGACTTTGAGATACACCATACTCAGCATATAAAAATATTTTATGTAGTATCAAAGTTTTGTGAATATTTAATATAATATTAATACACAAGATACAGTTAATATGAGTATATATAACACAATATATCCTCTAGTGATAATACTGAGATAACATATTCCTATACAATACAATACAACAAACTTACTATTATATTATGTGTCACACTGAATATGTAAACACTGTTAGTAACTGCAGTCTCATGATCATTAACAGTCACTAAACCTCCAAACATTATTCCTCTATTACCGGCAGTAGTAATCTTCTCAATTATAAAAGTATCAGTTGGTAGACAACACTGTCCACTGACAGATGGAACAATGAATTGTTCTAAAGTGAAGAGAATACAGTGATCATCTATCATAACATGTTAACAATATAAAGTATAATTGGTAGATTAGTACATGTATAATAACATTATAATTATGAATTCAAGCATGTGTACATGTACATGTAACTTAAACACATAATTGTGCATTATAGAGTTAATTACTATAATTAAATCAGCATAGTGTATACAACTACATGTATAAAGCTATTGAAGAGAAACTTACTAGTGGACACATTATAAAGTAATTGTTCATTAGTATGAACACGACCATCATTAAGTTGATCGTATTGAAACTGAGGATGGTAAACAGTTGGTGCAGAGCCATACCCTCCTATTATGACAAGGTATTCTGCTGCATCAAATTCCAGTAATACCATTCCAGCATAGCCTTTCTTCATCAACAACTGTTCGGCATTGCTGCATAAAGTCCACTGCATCTTTATTGTATTCAGTACATTCAACGTATTGTGGTAACAGTCATCATGACCACACCATCCACCGAAATAGTAAATATTAGAATGAGAGGTGGTACAGGAGTAGCCAGCGACTCCTAATGGAGGAGTACCTCTTGTTAGGTGAGAGGACCAGTCAGCAGTAGAAAGCTGGTAAACATCAACTGTTGAGGTCAGTTCCCTCTTTTGAAGGGAGTCATGATCTGCAGGTAAGTCAATCTGATTCCCTGCCCACAGGTAGAGGGACTCCCCGATTACAGGAGCTTTGTGTTCAGTTCTCATTTTGAAACCTGTAGTAAATAAATAATGATAGAAATGAAGACAATGACTACAGAAGAATAAATAGAAAGAGAAAGCATGAAGACAGAGCAGGATAAAAATGGTAGGGAGAAATCGAGGGAGAGATAGATAAACTAACTTTTTCCAGACATCCTCTTCTTCAAGCTTCTAAACACTAACGAGCCACTCCTAACATTCCAACATTATTTAATTAGCAATTTCAGTCACTTTATAGACCACACCCGTTATTATGACATTTACCCTATCAGAGACATGCCATTCACTTCAGGATCACTTAATTATGGCTGGTCAGCCTGGAACCATAGATATGTATCCTGGAATTAGATTTATATCCATGCTGGAACAACTAGAAAAATTAACCCAGTCCACTGTGCGCGCTCAGTAAAGCACTTGCATGTACACAAAAATTGCCAAATTAGAAACTGCTGCTAATTACAATTTTACAGCAAAATTGCCTAAATAAAGCACTATAGGATATACATGTAGTATAAGTAGTATCTAAATACATGGTATTTTATTCATTTTTGTTATTGTTTGGATAGTCAGGCTGAGCCACTGCTGATGACAAGATGCATGACAGTACATACATAGCCACGTTATTAAAAGACATCATTGTGGTGTTTGCTCATTCAACTACAGACAAAAGTTTGTGATTGAATTATGAATAACATCAGTCATGATCAAGCCTACTGCATCCTGAATCATAGATTTTGGACAGCTAACATGGGAATGAGCCTAGCTTGATGATGCTGGAATATGTCACTAGTAATTCAGCCAGAGGAACATGCATATTCAGGAATGATACTTGTAAGACTGTATCATACTGTAGTCTTGTGCCCAAAGAAGGGACATGAGACTATTAATACTGTAATCAGGCTCGATTCATTGATTTTGGGCAGTGTCTTGTATCATACATGCTAACTTTTGGCTTATGGTGTACACATCAGCTAAGAGAACAAAAACATTGTTTATACATGCACATGTACATTTAGATCTTTCTTGACTATAACATAATTAACACCTATGACATGGAAAACTAATAAAGCAATTACTCTATAATTATACAGAAATTATTTATCAACATTAATATTGAAATCAAGTGTTAATTCATTCCTAATAGCTTCAATCCAGTCCTCACCTAAAGCTATTGCTGCATCAGCATAACTGCCTCTTACAGCAATGAATGAGCTTAAGAACTTTTGACAGTGCTCCTCCACTTGAGGTAACTTCCTCTTGAAACTGAGACTGGCCTTGAACTCATCAATGCACTCTTCCATTGAAGGAGCTTGTCTAACTTCATTACTAATAAGCTTAGCTGTGTACAACTGATTGACAAGACCAGTAAGAGACTTCTTAGGCAAAGAATTGAGAGCAGCATAATGAGATATAAGAACATCATTGATCACTTTCTTTACTTTATTGACATCAGCAATAGCTGATGGGCCTAACAGAGGTCAAAGGTCAGTATATACACACATTATTATCACTTACTAGCTCCTCCAGTGGATGATACTGACATTGATTCATTAGAGGCCATAGAGCTATTAGGATCTGATTAAATAAATAAATAAATAAATGAAATGATCTATACTGATTACTTGCTGAGGGAAGAGGAGGAGTAGTTCTCAATGAACAATGAATGAGCAATGTAACTGGGTCAACAACACCCACTAGTGGTACAGAGTAATGTAGTGATGGTACAGCACCAGGTGATCCATATATTGATATCAAACAAGATGGAGGAACAGGATAATTAGCGTCACCAAAATTATCAATATCACAACGACGCAACTGTTAATATAGACATATCAACCATCAGTTATACATTATATTGCAATACTTACTCTACAAGGCTTAAGGTGAGGCTTAATACTCCAACCAGTGAATGGCTCATCTTGTGGTTCATCAAACTTTAATTCAATATATGAACAGGAAGGACCATAGGAAAAATAGACATGTTGATCAATATCAGCTTGTACGTGTTTCTTCTCAATGAACTACATGTATATGAATTAATATCTACTTGTATATGTACTTGTATATAATGTACCTCAATGAGTGCACTCAATTTCTTAGCTGCTGTGAAGGTCACTAAATCTTTATTTCTTTTCTCCTCATAATAAACCTGTCCAGCATATGTCATATTCTCTACTACACCAGTGGAAACAACCATTTTACCTATGCACAAAAATATTACAATCCCTGTGTCGATATACTCACTATTAAAATCTGAACTAATCTCAGTACAAGGTATTGGAGCAGTTGCTTCTTCATGCTGTGGTTCTTCATGATCCTTTGACTCTTCTACTCTTTCATTATCTTGCTCTTCATTTCCTTCCTCATGTAATGGCTCACCTCCAGTCTCCTCCTCTTCTTCTACTCCCTCATTACTAGTAGACTCTCCTATATAGTGGAATAGATTCAGTTCATTATATACTAGTACACACTGACTGACTCATTACTCACCTTGTCCTCCACTGCTACCTCCTGGTGGATCTTTAGTCTTATCAGAATCACTGGATGAATCACTATTACCATCTTCTACTTCCTCCTCAGTTTCCTCTTCTGCTTGTTCTTCCTCCTCCTCCTCTTCCTCTGACTCATCTCCATTAGTTGATGATTTGGGTAGAAATTTTTCCCCAACAATAGCTACTAAACAGAACTCTTTACGTTGAATGGATCCATACCAACTATCAACTTCAAACTCTCCTCCCTCAACTGATGAGAAGTGGTAAGGAAGACTGGGTGTGTTTATGGGAGATATAGCAAACTTGAGATGACGACTAAGATCTGGTTGTCCAGTTAAATGAACGCAGTGCTGTATTTCTAATATGAGCCATTTACGGAGAGGCTTTGAGAGTGATACTGCATACACAGCACTGACTAGGACAGTATTAGGAGGAAACTGGAACTCTCCTCCTACAAGAGCAACCACTGCTGCTTCTACTGTCTCAGAAGACAGTAAGCTCTCCTTTTGTACTCCAATCCTTAGACCATATTTCTCCCAATTCATCAGTTGAGGTTTGTCTCCTTGAATTAAGAACAGCTTCCTCTCTGCTACCTGGACATCACTCAGACAATCCAATTTATCTTTCAATTATACAAAATATATACAGTGAGTACACATACGATTGTATACACTCAGTCAGGGTTTCCCACAAAGCATATTAAAAGAAATAAACAGCATGACCTTCATGAGCTGAGAATCACTACAATACAGTACATGACCTAATATTTGAGCAACTATAAAATTCATAAAAATCCAAACTTGATCAGAATCAGCTGAAAACTGATACAATACAAGAACATGTATATGTATTAGAAAAATTATAAAAAAGAGAAATTTCTCCTAGTCATTTTGAAAAAATTGGCTAAATACCAAAATCCTTTGATTGTTGGTATAATTTTTGAGCAACTTTAAAAATTCATTAAAATCCAAACTTGATTGGAATCAATTTAAATTTTCTACACAACATAAAATCATTTATATGCATTAAAAACATTATAAAAATGGAGAATTCTTTTCTTGTAATTTTTTAGAAAAAACCTTGTACTTTTTTAATTTTTAGTACACCCCAATTTTTGAGCAAGTTAAAAATCCACTGACAAGAAGCTGCATGAGCAATATGCCAAAATTCTGTGGGAAACCCTGCACTCAGTCAGTCAGTCAATAATACTCTTACCCATTGAAGGGATCAGGTAATTAAATTGTAGTCCAATGGAATTAGTCTCTTTGATAGGTTGCTTGAGGACCCTCTCTTGTCTTTCCTTCACTAGTTTGGCTATGTACAACTCCTTTTCTTTAAGGTCTATATATTAATAGAATATTAATAATTATTATTGATTGATGATGATATACTAACCAGTAATAATCTGTTTCTCATTCTGTGATTGTTCCTCTACTTGTGATGTCAGTTTGGCTATAATGTTGTCTTTCTCAGTTTTGAAATTTTGATTCTTGTCTACACAATAAACATATTCTCTCATCTAATACATGCTGTGTGTATAGTTAGCTAACCAATAATGATCTGTTTCTCCTTGAGATATTGTTCTTCCATATCAGCTACTTTGAGTTTCAGTTTCTCGTAATCTTCTACATTAATAGAATATTCTCTCATCTAATATTATGTACTGATAATACACTAACCAGTAATGATTTGTTTTTCTTCAATCAACTTTTCCTGTTCTTGCGACATATCTTCTAATACACTGCTCATAATATCATTACTATCATCACCTTTAACTGAATAATAATTTACATGTAAAAGAAGAGAGTAATCAGTATATGCATAACAACATGATACAGTGTAACAGAATATACAGATAATATATACACACTAAAGACTGGTTCAATCAATATAAAAAGTATTAGATAGTGATATTCAATATTGTTTGTTCCTTATACATTGCACCGCACGAACATGTACTATGATTATTGCTGATGATACCATATATGGTAAGCAGAGGTCACCGTACATGAATCTTATTATTTGTAATGCATAGACAGTTTGACCTACTGTATATTGAGTACAGGATACTATTTCCATACTCAACATTGTGTATGTGTATATGTGCAACTTCGCTGAGTACAATATCACTTAAAAACAACTAGGTTGATTATTATAAATCACTGAAAAATGAGAATAACTCAAAAGGTCAGCAACTTTCATGTACATAACAAAACCACAATAGAGAACACTAATAATAACAATACAGATAGTTTTAGAACAACTACAAATAGAATATCTAGAACATGTAAGAGTAATTAAGATGGTAAACATACTAATACATATCAATACTGTTACAAATTATAAACACAATATTAATTATAATATTTATAATAGCATAATCCACTATTATCCACTAATATAACCACTATACCCATATAGAAAAACCAAGGTTGTAGCATGATTGTGGCAATCTTGTAACAAGTTTGTTGTCAATAGGTTGTCACTACCTGGTCACAACCTTGTAAAAACCTTGGATTTGACACGTTTTTTGGCTTGTGACAACCTTGTCACAACCTTCTCACAATGTACAATGAATTTAATAGAATAACTATAATATGAAAGACTATCAACACATAATTATTATTGACATCTTAATCACATATAGTTTCAAATGATTTCTAGATACTAGTAATGTATCTATGATACATGTAGCTAATGTATAAAGATGTGGATGTGTATTAACGTTATCTTTATTGACTTGTATAAGTGCTGGTCAACGGTCCCTTTATATATGGTAGCAATAGCTTCATATCATCGTGGGGCGCACTTAATGAAACCTCAGTTTCCTGTCAACCTTCGGACAACCTTGTCACAAGGTTGTTATTTTTCTTACATGTTAGTCACAACTTTATCACTTTCATACAAGGTTGTCACTAGGTTGCTCACAACTTTATCACTTTTATACAAGGTTGTTACTAGGTGGCTACAACTTTGCAAGGTTGGGACCCAGTTGTAACAACCTTGGAATTTCTATATGGGTATCCACTATGCTAATGACACAATAGTACATAATAGTAATCAGTTAGTACAGTTAAAGTGTGTGTGTGTGTGTGTAGTATCCTATATACCTTGTTTATTGGCCTCAACCAGTGCCTCCTGTAGTGATACTTTGCTCTGATGAGCCACTTGTAGGTTTTGATGTAAAGATTGTATATATCTCTGAAGCTTCATTTCCCTCTCTGTGGGATATTCTATTAGGTGATCCATCCACCATGTTCTGGTCTTGCTGTACGATTGATACTTTTCTTGATAGTTCTTACTAGTGAGATCATTACCATCCAGTACTGACTGTACTATCCACTCACCAGCTTCACTATATACTGAGAGACAATAAGATACATTATATATTTATAAATAAATGTATTTAATTTATAAACTAATGGTATCATTTACTGTATAGCGGGTATATTTCATCTGAAAAAATGTTTGTTCTAAGCAGAATTAGAAATTTTCGTTTGTTTTATTTTCATTCTGAACAGCCATTTTGTACACGTGGCATTGAGGAAATGCCTCTTTCGTTTGAAAAATATTTGTTCATTTGTTCCACAAGGAATGAGAACAAAAAGAACGAAATTAAACTCTGATGGAATATATCTACTGTACAGTATAGTGGCTGTAAATACACGCCCACACACACATACAGTGGTATCGCAAAATTTCACATTTCCATTGCCACATAGTGCAGTCTGCAAGCTATTTGTGATAATTCCATGAAATCTTAGAAATGCAAGACTTTCGGAAAATTTTCTACTGCAAAAATAAACCGGTATATGGTACTTTATTTGTAAATTTTGGTTCCTAATATGACATACCATATAGCTAGAAAATTTGGAGTGTTAAAATTTGGCGAATTGACTTTAAAAGAGGTTTGGAGGTTAAAATTTTGGTGAAATTTTAACTCTGTGTATGCTTCTAATGGAGCCTTATCAAATTGGAAACTAAAAATTTGGCGAGTGGACCTCAATTCACCAAATTTGCCATAGTTTTACTCCACCAAATTTTCTAGCTATACGGTACATTTTCTATTTATTTTGTATACTGTACACACTACAATGGAAAAATTTCACAACAAAGCCTAAACCGGTATATGGTACATACTGTAAAAATGAGTGTGACATTATTTAATGTAATTACATGTATGTACATGTACTCAATTTTACTTTCCTTACTATTATTTTACCTAATTCAATTATCATTATTAGTCTATTAGTATCAGTAATATATGTAACCATCGACTCCTTCCTTCCTCCTCCAACATCTTTCCATTTAAACTTTTCACATCCTCCAATAATTACTAGCCACACACAGTGTGGTGACATTGTGACTGCTGTGAGTGAGTGATAGTATCTACCAGTAACAGATTCAGGTAGAGGAATCTGTAGATAAAGAGAAGTATATTGATACATGATGTTTATACAGTTACATGTACTTATAAAAATGAGAAATCGTACATGCATGATTCATGATCGGTACATTTATTAAAATTGTATAAAATTGATTCTATAATCTTCACCATTAACAAACAAAATTAAATTTTATTTCACAACATGTGAAGAATAACAAAAAATACAAATTTAACTTTCAACATTAAGAATAGGAAATGTGCTAATAGTACACACAAATTAATTAAGGCTGATTGAAAAATGTGTATAATATTCAATCAAATGTGTGGGTGGTTCTATTTTAATACCATAAAGCAGGAAATTTTTGTGGCCCGAAATTTTGTGGATTTTGCCTTTTTTTCAAAAATTACAAAAATAAAATTAATCCGCGAAAATCAATTTAATACGGTTCAAGATGACTGAAAATTAAAACACCACGAAAATTAAAGCCACAAAATTAATTTTTAGACAGATCCGCAAAAATTTTGGGCCGCAAAAATTTCTTGCTATACAGTATTAATATTTTATCAGTGAGAGTGTCATCTACTGAACACACTATCAATTACTAATCTATCATCAATATACATCAGTACTAGTGCCATACTGTGAACTGATCTAACCACTATAGATTAGGAAATTTGATAATTTGTGTGAAATTTTTTCAAGGAGTTTTATTTTTGCTGGTTGACCTATCCGCAAAATTTGTTCAACAATTTGCATGCATCACAAACTGGACACATGGCTACTAACTTTTGATGATGATGGACAGCTATTGAATCAAAGTTGCTCGTGACAGTACTAAAACTGACAAGGAGCCTTTTGGGTGAGAGCTTCAGGCCTTCCATGGGCTTTTAAAAGAGCCTTATGCTTGCATGCTGCATGTTAAACTAATTTTGATAATTTTAAAATTCACTGTATAAAATATTTCATGCGTCAAAATTTTGAAGGTCACTTGAACCGTGAAAATATTTTAACAACAAAAATTTCCCGATCTACAGTATACGCACACATACCTTCTTACAACTGTATTGACCAGTAGTGATACTATCAAATAACAAACATTCATGAACTAGCTGATTCTTTTTTGTTCCACCAATCACTACTAGTGTAGGTGAGGTAAAGTTACCATTGATAATAGCACTAGCGTGATCAACTCTTTCCATAGGCCACAGTCCCTCATTAGGTATTGCTCCTGGTTTCAGTATCTCCCAGTTCTAGATACATAAACAAATACTAATAATATCAGTCAGCGTAAATATGAATAATGGGTGTGGCTATACAAATAATGGGTGTGACATGTAAATATTAATCCTAATATTACTTTGATATGTTAATGAGGTGAGGTTAGTGGTTGTGTTTACCGGAGGTATAACAAATCTATTGGTACACAATATACTTGATAATATGAAATACCATACTAGATCATAAGCATATGACTATACGCTGTCTAATTATATGAAAACATTTATATAATAATACACAAAATACAGCTAATATTAGTACAACACAATATATCCTTTAGTGAAAATACGATACAGCAAAATACACTCCAACTTACTATTATACTAAGTGTCACACTGAATATGTAGACACTGTTAGTACTTATAGTCCCATCACCATTAACAGTCACCACACCCCCAAAGATTACTCCTCTCAGTCCACTGTCACCTGTAGTAGTAATCTTTTCAATTATGAAAGAATCAGTTGGTGGGCAACACTGTCCACTGACAGATGGAACAGTGAATTGTCCTAAAGTGAAAGATATACAGTGATCATCTATCAACAATTAAAAGTATAACTGTTTATATATATAGTCATATAAAAAAACAATTGTATATTGTACTAGTTCATTATATATAATGTATACATTTACTGTACATGTATAAAGCTATTGATAAATACATGTATGAAGAGATTCTTACCAGTGGACACATTATAAAGTAGCTGTTCATTAGTACGAAAACGGCCATTATTAAGTCGATCATATTGAAACTGAGGATGGTAAGTAGTTGGTGTAGAACCAATCCCTCCTATAATGACAAGGTATTCTGTTCCATCAAATTCCAGTGATATCATTCCAGCAAAGGCTTTCTTCATCAACGACTGTTCAGTATTACTGCATGAAGTCCACTGCATCTTTATCGTATTCAGTACATTCAACGTATTGTGGAAACAATCATCATGACCGCAATATCCACCAAAATAGTAAATATTAGAATGAGAGGTGGTACAGGAGTAGGCAATTACTCCTAATGGAGGAGTACCTCTTGTTAGGTGAGAGGACCAGTCAGCAGTTGAAAGCTGGTACACATCAACTGTTGAGATCAGTTCCCTCTTTTGAAGGGAGTCATGAACTCTAGGCAAGTCAACCTGGTCCCCTGCCCAAAGGTAGAGGGACTCCCCTATTACAGGAGCTTTGTGACCAGCTCTTTTTATGAAACCTGTAGTAAATGAATAATGACAGAAATCAAGACAATGACTACAGCAGAATAAAAAGAAAGAAAGAGCATGAAGATAGAGGAGGAGGAAATACGGTAGGGAGAGATAAACCATAGATATCTATGGATAAACTAACTTTTTTTAGACATCTCTTCTTCTTCCAAACAATGAGCCACTCCTACCATTCCAACAAATAATAATAATTATCTATAACTTAGACCACACCCTCCTTTTAGTTTTATTACTGACCATGTGCAAAAACGTGGTCAAACATCAGTGGGGATTGTGATGAACTGGAACATCTAAATGAAGCTCTTACTAAATCCATGAGCTTCTTCTAGACTATGTTTAATAAAGGAATCAAATATATAAGGCCTACTTGAACAGAGATGTTGAAACTAAGAGGATCAAAGATGAAAAAAACATGGAGACACTAGCATGAAAGTAGAGGGGTCTAGATTATGCTAATTTTTTGCCCTATAATTCTATTCAGAAATTCTCAAAAAATTGCCTATTATTCTTTTTCTTCTGCCCTATTATTCTTTTTATTCTGCCCTATTATTCTCACTTTATTCTTTATAAACATGAGCTAACTACAATAAAAATAAAAATTAGTAAGTCTGAGAAGCTATTTAAAGTATCACTATCAGCAGAGACTTCAAAATACCTTAAGGTTACTTATAAATGCGGGTACTATTAATTGCGAATTTTGCGTTTGGGTTTAAAATCGCAATTATTAATACACGCAATTATTAATAATGACGTCATGATGCCATATAACTATTAGTAATAATTACTTAATCGCAATTTTTAATACCAGCAAAATCTACCTTGTGCTAAAATCGCAAAATTTAGTACCCGCAATTAAAAGTCACTCTAAGGTATATCAATTTCAGAACCAGAACTTTGTTCAAAAATAGAGTTACAACTAGCCCAAGCATTAAAAAAATTCAAAATTGTGCATTTGCTGCTCTTTAATTAGAGTTTGGCTACTGACCCACCTATTAGGCCAGCATTATTCTGAAATTGAAGTGCTACCTATTATTCCCAAAATTATTTCGGAATAATTGGGACACCGCTACATGAAAGTAGCATAGCAATTGTAATAGCTACAAGGCATGGAAAATTGCAATTACTGTTGCATATTTTTTAAATGGCCATAACTCAAAAAATTTGTCAGAATCAACTCAAATTTCTACTTAATAACATAAGGATATCAATAAGCATCAAAAAATTTAGCAAAAATTGGGGATAATTTTTTGGGAAAAAAGCATACGCATAATACAGGAATTTGCTATTTTAAAATGACCATAACTCAAAAAATTTAAGACGGAATTAGCTGAGACATTTAGGTGGTGTAAGGATAATAATATGTATCAAAAATGTAATGAATATTGAGGGTAGTTTTTAGCTATTTTTTGGAAAAAGCATGCGCTATAAGTACATGGTATTTTTACAAATGGCATAATTATTTTTCAATAAGCAATAATTATGTAAAATCAATAACATTAACCAAAACTACTATCAAGGATCAAAATCAAGTCCCAGTTCATTTCTAAACTAATAAAAATACAATGTAGAATAGTAAATAAAATAATAAGAATAAAACATCTATATTGATTTATATTTTTCTATTAGTTTATCAGCTAGTTTGATAGTTCTTCTAGTACCTTCTTCTTTGAGAATATCTAAGAATATACCAAATACTTCTCCTTCCATAATAATGGAGCTTGAAATGATGTGGAGCAATTCATCCATTCTTTCACCAGCAGTGTGTTTAGTGTAG